CATAAATTGAGGTATCTTCGTAATAACCTCATATTATTTGCATAAAGATGATAATATCAACAAAATATTTAATTATGTTACGGAGGTCTCCCTAATTGAGTTTTCAAATACACATATCATACTTAAATATGTTCTGTGTTAATTATCACATATATCATATCATATCATATCATATATCATATTATATCATATCATCTATCATATATTGTATAATATATCATATCATCAAAGAGGTTCTGTCCCAAAGGTGGAAATCGTGGAGAGTATAATGTTAAACACTCGTATTGTAGAGCGACAAACAGCTATCAATAATGGTTCAATGTCAAAATTTAATGAAAGATGGAACAATTTTAATTATGAGTAAATCACTTATTAGCCAGATTTGTCAGCTTATCAATAATGTTCCCCTAATTCCACTTCTTTTAAGCCATCCACTTTTCATTTTTTGTAATTTTTCTTTTCTTTCTTTTTTCTTGTAAATGTATTTATTTAAAGTAATAAAAAAAATATTAAAAAAATATATCATATCATCTATCATATATTGTATAATATCATATCATGTATCATATCATATATAATAATATCATATCATACACAGGAAAGAAACTTGTACAATAAGGTATTTGGTGGATTCTTGATGAGACAAGCACTTGAGTTAGCATGGGCTAACGCCTGGGTATACTGGTAGGTTCATACTATCTATGTGTTCTTTTAACTCTTTGAACACCAATGTCAACTTCTAGCACCATAAGCAAAATAGTTCTGTTTATTGTCTGCTCTTTTCCACATAACATTTTTTGGCTAAAATTAATGTCTTATTTTGTCAGTTTTGTTCAAAATTAAAATTGAATTCAGTGAAAATTGCAGAAACTGTAAATAAATTTATTCAAATTTAGGCGGGAACAAATTTGGCACCCAAGGGGTTAATATTTATTTGTTGTTTAATTTCAAGTATTTTTAGTATCATTCACTGGAGACCACTGTGATTCAAGTCACAAAATCTAACTAGAATTCCAGTTAGATTATTATGACTCGGAGTGTTTGAATTTCACAAAATTGTGTTGGCTGAAATTATGATATGACAACCATTTTTAATCTCTGTTAGCATCGAGAGGTCGTTGGTTCTGGATTAGGTTGATACAGTGTATCAGGACAGGAGTCAACTGTCCAGGTGCTACAGACTCATTCATTTATTTTATGGATGTGACATGCTTGGACGCATGTGTTTGACCAGGCGTGGAAGACACCAGAGTTGCCAGGGTAACAAATTATTAAAGTTACTATAATCATAATCAAGATGGTCACCCAGCTCTGTTATTACCAAACGCTTCAGCGTGGTATTAAGAATTTGTTTTCAGGGTTGGGTGATACCAAGGTGGAAAATGGTTGCACATATGGGGGTAATTCCTGAAATTGCAATAGAGAGGGTTCAGGCCAAAATACAATATATAGTGTTTTCATGTTTCGTCTGATATTTCTGTAGTATTCTGCTGCTGTAACTAATGCAAGATTTGTTCTGAAACTCAGTGTATTGTGTGCACTCAAGGGTTATTCGTTTTTTGCTGAAAAGACCCCTATTTTT